GAGAGTTAATTCTTATCATCTCCTGTGCCTCACACTGGAAAATCTTGGCTCTGCTGTTCGAGCAGATTGTGTCTACATCTTGACTCTATATAGGTGTGTGTGTGTGTTTGTGTGTGTGTGTGTGTGTGTGTGTGTGTCTCCCTATTTCAACCTGTACCAGATTTTGGTTCTCATAGATAATGAAATCAGTTCAGCATTGCCCATGCTCCCCCTTCCACCATTCTGGAAGGAAATCTGTAGAGAAGAAAAAGATACCTGAGGTTCTTAAAAGTGAAAGCTAGCAAAGAGGCTGAAAAAAAACAACTCCAAACAACCAAAATATGAATGATTGTCAATCTTCATTTCAAATACTGATAGTCTTTCTCCTAGTGGCAAGAAATCAGAAACAGAGAGGGGTGTGTGCATATGCGTGCTTGCGTGCGTGTGTGTGTGTGTTTGTATACATACATACATATATATATATGATATATATATGATATAGTTACTATATATATTTATATATCATATATATATATGATATATTTACTACTGTTACTAAAGCTGTTCCTCACAGGCTTACTGTGTGTCAAGGGGACATTTCACAGGTGTCATTTTCTCATTCAATCCTACAGTAGCCCTCCAGATCATGTAGAGCAGATACTGGTCCTATTTCACAGGCGAGGAAACTGAGGACTTTCTAAGTGCTCTTTCCACTCCGGCTGGCAATGAGGGCCTCTGCATTCTTTCCTGACTGTACCTGTAGATTCTTCTTTGACCAGGGTCAGTGCAGTGTTTCAGGTCTCAAATTCCACCCCTACCCCATCTGTAAAGTGAGGGGGTTGGCCTGGATATTTTGTGTTTTATCCAGTTCTAAAAGTCTATGATTCTAAGATTTTAAAGGCATGACCTTAATAAGTCTGAGAACTTTTAAAGGGTAGGATTGATGTATGTTTATCCCACTGCCTAGAATATATTGAGGAATAAATGAAAATCTGCCTTACATCAAAGTAAAACGCAAAACACGAATAAATACAAAAACAAAATATTAATATAGCTGTCTACATAAAAAGTTAGAAGGCATTTGTGGAGAAAATTCCATAAATAAAGTCAAATGGCAAAGCTTAAACTGGAAAAATATTTTTTAGAGTGTACTATTACAAAGGTTAATGTAAAATACTACAAAAGTGCATAACAAAAAATGAACACCCCACTGAAAAACTGGCTCAGGTCATGAAGTAAAGATTTACAAAAGAAAAATACAAGTTAACAATAAACACTACAGTGATGTCCAAATTTTAATAAGCATAATGAAAACAGGACAGAGATATCATTTTCTACCTGTTGCACTGGTAAAGATTTGAAAGATTCGTATTGGCTGGGAGAAAGTCACCTCATACACTGGCATGGGCATGTGGGTTGGTACAACTCAGTTAGTGAACATAGAAAAGTGGAGCATGTCTGCCTCTAAGAACTGACTCCAAGGAAATAGTTGTATAAGAACACAAAAATTTAGGTACAAGGATACTCATTTAATCATTGTTATAATAGTGAAAAGTAGGTGACCAAAATGTCTATCATTGGGATAGTGAATAAATTTATAACATGGTATATAATACTCATTTTAGATAATGATGTCGGTCTGTAGTCATAGAAATGGAAAGATGTCCATAGTATATAAAGTGGAAGAGAAACAAAATTTATCTAGAGCATGATGAATTTTGGGGGTAAAAGTTATATAAAAATAATTTGGAAAGACACATACTAACTATACTAATGTTGATTGTGGCTAGGTAGTGAAATGGACAATTGATTTTTATTTCCTTCTTTATTTTCATTTTTTGAATTTCCTTTTTTGTAAAGTACATTAATTGCTTTTGTAATGGGAAAAGTAATAAAGATATTCCAATTTTTAGAATATATTTGCCCTTATCAGTAGTCTGGGATGTATATTTTTAGCACTTTTAAAGAAATGACATGTCATGGGACAGATGTGATTTTGATAATATTTGGTCATATCACTTAAGAATTACTAGAATTTCTAGTTAGTGCAATTGTATGTTTATAATTAGAGCTCTCTACTAACTTTTGGCATGTATATGTGTGTTGTGGGGATAATGAAGGAGTTGCAGGGACATTGTTTTCTCCTTGGGACTTCTATAGTTTGTCTCAAGGAAAAGTAGTAGAAGTTGAGGAAATATTACTGGGACGCGGGGCTAGACTCCGTGCTGGACCAGGTGGGCCGGCTTGGCTGTATAAAAGTGAAGGAAGACATTCTGACGCTTGACCCCTAAAAACTCTAGTATGCATCTCCTAAGAATAAGAACATAATGGCGGACACCATTATCATACCTAGAAAAGTAAGTTTGATTCAGGGATAATATCTGATATAAATTTAAATTTCTCCAATTGTCCTCAAAATGTCTTTTAAGCTGTTTTTCTTTTAATCAAGGATCCAGTCAAGATCCATATCGTGCATTTGGTTATTTTATCACTTTCTTCTTAATCTAGATTTTAGAACAATCTCTTTGCCTTCTGTTTGAGTTTCACGACATTGATGTATTTGAAACATTCAGGCCAATTATAGAACGTTCTAGATTTGCCTGATTGTTTTCTCATGATTAAATTCAGATTAAGTTTTTTGGCCAGAACACTGCCTAGGTGATATTCGTACTTCTTATTTCATCTTATCAGGAGGCTTCTCGTGTCCGGTTGTTCCACCATTGGGGATGCTTGCAGTTTTTTAATGAACAGGAAGCTTTATCTTACACACACACATTCAGGGGTATTAAACATTCCTTGTATTAGATTTTTATATCTTTCATGAGTACAAAGAAAAATTTATTAAGAAGAAATATGCAAAAAAGAATATATCAGGTGTTTCGTTATCTACTGAAAATTTCAAATTTTTCCTTGTGTGTGTGTGTGTGTGTGGAGAAAGCATAGATATTTGTTAAGCTACCAGTCTTTATCCTTGTATTTATGCAAGCAGGATGGCATTAACTATAGTATTCTATTTATTGTTTCTAGTGTTGGATTGATAACATAGGTAAAGATGTAAGACAGTCTCTATTTGGCCATTGCAAGGCCCGATCTATAACATGCTCAAATACCAGCAGTCCTTTTCACTCTTAATTGTTATAATAATATGTTTTTAAAATATAAGATTTTCTTTTCTTTTCAGATTTTGGGCATATTATCTTAGAACAATTGAAGATAAATGTTTTTGGAAACAATTGAAGAAAAATATTTCGAATGCATTCTTTGCCTTCATTTAACCCCAAACCTCCAGCTGAACTAATAGAAAATGAAGAATGTTTTCTTTTGGTGACAGGATTCTAGTAGACTATCTTTCCTCTTAGTGGCTCCAAGGACAAGGACGAGGCTGGGAGCTTTTGAAGTCTTGCTGAGGCATAACGTTAATTTGTTTGAAACAAAAGTCTTTGTGAAGCTTGTGGAGGGTAATTGGTAATGTGGAGGTGTTGATTCTCTTTTTCAGGGCGTCTTTTATGACCAAAACTGTGCCTTGTGGAAATGAACTTCATAAATTCCTCATCTGGGACACTGCTGGTCAGGAACGGGTAAGGATACGCTGTTGTTGGCTTCTAGGAAAATACTGAGATCAGTTTCTGGTTTCTCTCTATTCAGCAAGACTCTAGTGATTGCAAGTGACAGAAACCCAGCTTGAAATGACTTAAGCATAAAAGGAAAGTACTGTTCAACTATGAGAAAAATGTAAGGCGGTGACCATTTAAGGCAGGGTTGAGTTCAAGTCTTTCAAATGTATTATCAAAGGCACCCAACTCTATTCCTTTTATTTGCTTCCTTACCTCTAGGTTGGCTTCATTTTTAGGCAGACTCTCCTTTTTCCCTTTGCTAACGGTGGCAAGGATGGCTGCATAAGCAACTCTAGGCTAATATTCTGTCACCTTAGCAACCCCATGATGGAAAGCACTTCTTTCTCACGAGTTGCATCCTATGTCTCAGCACTTGTGGGTTTTCATTGGTCATTTGAGTCATGCGCTCACTCTGGAACTTGATTCTGTGCAGAGTTTGGGGTATTTGATGCTCCTACTGGTAGGGCCAGGTAATACACTTACCCAAGAGGTGGGCTGCTGTCAGCTCCACCTGAACCACATTGACTGGAAGTCAGGTGGGCTGAGTTCCCCAGGGAAAGTCTGGGTTCTCTTACTGGAAAATGGGGGAATGGATGTTGGGTTACCAGAAACAGTAGATGACCTCTCTCATTCTTAATTCTTTTTATTTGAACTTGATGATGTATGGAGTTATAAAGAAGATTATTTAAGAAGCTCGTTATCTTTAGATTTTAAAAAGTGAAATAGTAAATACCAACAGACTGTGTGTGTAACAGGGATTTTGTGTAATAACTAGAGTGTATATAATCAGAGTTGAAAGGGGTGGTCAAGATAAATGAGTGAAGCACAGGAATAACCAATATCTTGTATTAACTGAGAGCTTTCAGCCTGATCAAAACTTTCATCAGAGCTAATAATTATAGAAATAAGTTGAACCTTCCCTTATGTGATCCAAGCACAAAAGTCACCTTCTCTACCTATCCCGTTTAAAATATCATCTTCCTTCTTTTCCTCCCTACTCTACTCAATTCATTTTTCTCCATAGCTCTTGCCAGCTCCTAATATACTATTTAATTCACATATTGATTCTGTTTATTGTCTCTCTCCCTCAAAGGAAGAGAACCCAGGGTTCAGGATAACCCATCATTTTCTTTATCTACTCCTAACAAATCAAGTGTGTGTTTATACGGTTTTCATTTTATATAAATCCCCATTTAAAACTGACTCTCCGGGGTTTGTAGATTAAGGTGTTTCAAAGATTTATTTCCTTCCTTCCTTTCTTTTTTTCTTTTTTTCTTTTTTTCTTCTCTTCTCTTCTCTTCTCTTCTCTTCTCTTCTCTTCTCTTCTCTTCTCTTCTCTTCTCTTCTCTTCTCTTCTCTTCTCTTCTCTTCTCTTCTCTTTTTTAAATGAGGACAAATCTTCTGGCCCACAAATGCTAACCTCATTTGAATGTCTGCTATTTTGCTTCTAAACTGAGAGCACAGACTTCCATACATGAACCCACTGCCTGTTCCTCCTCTTCAACTCCGTTAGTCAGCTGTGCATGCTGACTCCTGAAATGAGAGTGATGGATTGAAAGAAAAAAATGTCTACTTAGGGAATCTCTTCTTTACATACTTTTGTGTTCTTTGTAGTTGTTCTGCTAGTTTTTTGATTTCTTTTTTTTGTTGTTATTTAAACTTAAGCGATGGGATTTTCTTGCTCCCCTTTTTACTTTTGTCCATGAAATAGTTGCTTTTGCAGCTGCTATTAATGAGCATAATAATTCAATTTGATGAATATTTCTGGCTTAGTATTAGCAGTACTACTACTTCTACTACTTGGCGCTATTCTGAGTGCCTTCCAAGTACTAACGCATTTAGTCCTCTCACAGCACTCTGAGGTAGGGACTATTTTTATCCCCATTTAAAGCTTGAGGTCATTGAGGCACAGAGAGGTAACTTGCTCAAGGTCACATAATCAATAAGGCGCACAACAGAAATTTGAATCCAGCAGTCTGAGTCCTGAACTTTATGGTGGTGTTCTGATAGAAAAACCACACAAAAGCCATACAGTTGAAAGTAAAATTATCCAAAATTCTACTATCCAGGTATTTTCCATTATTGACATTAGATGACCATTCTTCAGTTATCTCACTATATGTGTGTTGATAATTTCATATCAATGGGATCATGATTTTTTATAACCTGTTTTTATTTGATAATACAATGTTCCTATGGAGAGATTTCTGTAAGATCTAAGCAGAGTTTTTGACATGTAGTTACCTCTTCTAATATACTATTCAAGAAGTTGATTGGTTTTGATGAAATTTGGTACATTAAAGTGACTGCTGTGGTTTGTAGTTTGGCCCACTTACCATCTCAAAGGAAAATGGCAATAGAAAATATTTTATATAATGTTATTTCTAATTATTGTAATTGTTTTTCCTAAAATTTGACTATTAAAGGTTTTAGACATCTGTAACTATATTGCAATGTCTGTACTTTTAAAACGCATAGTATTGCATGTACTATATTAGTATTATATATATAATTAGTGTTATATATTATTATAATTATTAGAATTATTTGTGCAAAGCATGACTCCATAGCAGTGCTTCAGGCAAGAGCTATTGAGTTTTGGATGGTAATTTCAAGTGACTGCTTTTTAAAATCTAGATTTGTGGAGAGAGTGTGAGGAATATTTACACAGTCTTTGTGGTCATCCGATCACTCTAACCCTCTAAGACCTGATTTAGTTATCCTCGGGCTGTCCTTGTCTCGTGTCCCTTGGTACAGTCTTGCATCTCTCCAGTGATGGAAATTTTTCAATCGTTTTGGCAGCTTGTTGCTGGACTTAATTGTGCTTGTAATGACGTTGCCTAATGTTTGAGCTAAAAATAAATTCCCTGCTGTCGCTTGTGCCTATTGCTATTTGTTCTGTCTCATTAATTGTTGGAATCCAGTGCGTTTTATTATCCCTCCTAATCTTTGTAGAAATATGCTACTGTTCTCTTTAGTTTTCATAACTTTAAATAAACAAAATCTCTTTGGATTTATAATTTGACAATATAAAGATATAGATCTCTGTGTCCTCAAAGGGGCATAATGCTTGGTGCAGTGCTTTGCACGTGTTAAATGCTCAATATTTGTTTCTTTGTGGAGTGATTGAACCAAGTTCTGCCTACCACACATGACATTCCTGTTAAGGTCCTACTTACTGCCCATTACTAATTGTATATTATATTTGTAGCACAAATTCATACTCTTGAAAATTATTTTTTCCTCTGAGCACTGGAAATGTAAAAAGATACCACTCCTCCTCCCTCTCTTTGTATAAGAGAGTTTTCATTCATGATTTGCTGTCTTAATTTTGCTTTCATTCCGCCAACTATGGTGGGCATCCTGTGATTCAGTGGCAAGTGGTAATCCATAAAGTGCCTCTGTAGAAAAAAAAAGTTTTAAAAAATGTAATCATTTCCAATTGATTGTTGAATCTAATTTGTTAAAAGCTTAACATTTTCAAGATTTGTGTGTTTAGTTTGTTGCTGCTGAGAGGTGTTGAGAGGGGGTGAGTATGGGCTTTCGTGGGCTTTTTCATCCTGTCCTCTTCCAATGGGTTGTGTTGGTTTCTGCTTTATGCTGAGCTGTTAGGAAGAGCCGCAGTAGGTCAGAAGGATGCACGCAGGAATCGCAGCTCAGAGAGATCCCCAGGGGAGAGAAAGAAATTGATCTGTCCACTTCTGTCCTCCCGTCTTCCATCTGTCAGGATTCCGGATGGGGTGATGAGACTTCCGTCCTAATATGTCAACAAGTCATTCTTTCACACTGAGTTTTCTTTTGATGTCTTTGTTTTTCTACTAAACTGGGGACGAGAATATCCTTATTGCTATTAAAAATGTCTCGTCAAGATAGGAAATGTAACTTTCATTTTCTAGATATGTGCTTCCAAATCATTCTGTTTCTGCTTTAAAATACAATTGCAATCCAGAGGATAACTCCATAAAAAATGTCAATATCTTGGAAGAATTTCAGGCTGCATTCTCTTGGTTTGATCCATCAGAGCAACATTATTCTAAGAATCTCACATGGAAAAATATTAACATCATCTTATTCTTTTGTTTTATTTGGTTGAGTTCAGTGTTAATAGTTGCCTGCCTTTCCTAGTGGACTGTTGCGTTTATAAAATTTAGGTTTCACATGAATCACAGTCACAAATTCCACAAAGTTGAATTGATGGTTCCATTATTAGCATAAAAACTCTTTACCAGTGGTCCCCAACCTTTTTGACACCAGGGACTGGTCCTCCTATGAGAATCTAAAGTCTGATGATCTGAGGTGGAGCTGAGGCGGTGATGCTAGCTCTGGGGAGCACTGCAAATACAGATGAAGCTTTGCTCCCTCAACTGCCGCTCACCTCTTGCTGTGTGGCCTGGTTCCTAACAGGCTTCAGGCTGGTATGGTCCAAGGCCTGAGGGTTGGAAACCCCGGCTCTTTACTATTTTACAAACACATCTAAAGTGGAATAGATTGACTTCTGAAGTGAAATTCATTATTTTGTGCTTTTTAAAGATGAAATTGGAGAACACAAGTACAAACTAAAAAAATAGCCTCCCCCCACGTCCTTCAGACATAGCCTAATTTCAATCTCTAGATTTGTCTAATCTGGATATTTCATATAAATGAAATCACAATATGTAGATTTTTGTGACTGGCTTTCACTTAGCATAACAGTTATTGAGGTTCATCCATGCTGTAACATAGATCAGTGCTTCCTTCCTTTTTGTGGCTGGTTAATATTCCATTGTATGATTGTACTACACTTTGTTTATCCATTTGCCAGTTAACGGATGTTTGGGTTGTTTCAAAATTGATGGGTTTTATAGTAACTCTAAGGTTAGCATTTTGAGGACCTGCCAAATCATTTTCCAAAGTGGCTGCACCATTTCCTATTCCTACCTGCAATGTTTGGGGTTTCCAGTTCTCCACATTCTTGCCAATACTTG